CCCAGGTCATCTCATGTAATCTTCAGGAGAGTACAAAATCATCCAAAAGTTAGTTACCTGTGTTGCAAAACCATGCTTGAAAAAGCAATGCACATCATGACCGAATGTCAGCAGCGGACAATGGACGGAAGAAAGAAATGTCGAATAAATGCAAAGCGATCATAGAGGTACTGCGTGTAATAATTTAGTTGTGTAATGCCTTTAATGGGCAACTTAAGCCCCTTTCCCATGTCTACGTTGAGGCTCGATGTGAGCATATCCCATCAACATCAACATCATCTCATGTATGTATAGTTGGAAATATTGTTGAGTTTAAGCCTACACCTCTCACCACTAACTTATTACAAGACCATCACAAGCAGTGTCTTAAAAGCACCTTCTTTGATGCTACTTTGTGATGAAGGAAGATAGCGAAAAGAGTTTTCGCCGGATCAACATCACGGAGTGCTTCCTCGACCACTTGACCGCGCTCCCAATTCTTTCGCCCTGGTGAGGAAGGGACTCTGGACGGATTGACGCAAAGCGGACAACAGACTCCTGCTTAAGAGGAACTCCGCTGTCGATTTAGCTATGCCCAGATTGAAATGAATGCGTTCAGAATGCTTAAGCATTACCGTAACCAAAGTAAAAGTGAAATCACCCATTCATCAGTGTGCATCCCGTAGTCCATGCATAATATTAGCCATCTGAAGGCGAAATAGAATAGTTCGGTATAAAGCTAATTGATAAAATTTAAAACTAGCTGGTTTGCTCCCCCATGTCATCGCAAGAATGCGTCTTAACAAGATCTCGCCGAACTTGGGGCTTAGCTAAGGTTGTGGAATTTAAGACTCAGGCCGCCAAAGGTGTAGAGGTTCCCATCAAAAGAAAAATTTTTAAATGAGACGATTTGATGAATCATGTACCAAAACCTGGTCCTCAAAAACTGGCTCATTGGATTAAAGAAAGGCGAAGCCCTTGCTGCTCCTTCGTAAATGCGCCTATCAGTTGACCGAAAGGCATTTGGAAGTGTTTTTAATTTCCCTTCACTCTCCTTGCTCCTTTTCGTGCTTGGGCTGAAAGCACGCTTGATAAGGCTACACAAAGGAGCATTACAGAAGCTTTTATTAAATACTCCTTCCTAATTTGTGGCAAGTGTGCTAACGCCAGTTAGACTTCGAAAAATAATAACTAAGTTCCCGCCAATTTTCATCATTGGAGAGGCATTTCTTTCTACAAAGTAACGGAACCCACTTATTGCACCTTAGCATTATTTCTCAGAAGAGATGTAATTAGGAGGACCAAGGATCAGTTTAATCCTCCAAATAATACACACAATGCTGAAAGTAATATCGGATGCATATTTAATTTACTAATTTGTTCTACCAGTAAGGAAAAGATGTTGGGCAGACACTACTGTCCTACTTGAATTAACAAATAATTCCAACATGACTTGAACGGCAGACTGCGAAGACTTAATCGTAAGTTTTACGTAAAGAGTGAAAAGACAGCGACACTCTTTAAAGATCTATTCCGATGGAGCAATTAAGTTGAGAAATCTAAAAATGAGGTTTGAGATGGAAACTTATCTGATTAAAATATAAGAGGGGTTTCGTTGGAAACAGACTAATTAAAAGTCTTTTCTTGCTGAAGTAAACCACTATCGTTGCGAATCGTAGGTATGTACATGAGCGCTGTACGCGTCTTCCTTATGCCATTACAGTCAGAACTTTTCCATGCGATCGGAAATAAGAGGATACGCCAATTTGTATACGTGGTTATCTTCTTATGACGGGCGTTATTATATTAAAAAGGGCAAATTTGTTGGACATTCAAAAAAAGTGACCAGCAAAGACCCCATTCATCAAATTAAGCAGAAAAAGACATCATTTGGCATGGGTGCGTGTTAAAGGCATTGAGTCTTAAGGTAATAGGAATGAGCATTCAGACCTACCGAAGAACATAACCACTTTCATTTCATGACGGAGAGAAGGGATCAAGAGCATGCATGAGAGTAAGCTGTAAGTAATGGAAAGTAGAAATACGACTTCAAGTGCATTCCGGGAAGACGGAGTCGTTTAGGCTCTACATTTGCGCAAGGGAATGGTGTTTTTAAAGACAAATCAAGATGCCATTTAGAATGGCCAAGGAATTAAACTGCGCCATTCTACTAGTAGAGTCGAATTTCATTTTCATTACGCAGTCGCTTACGATCCGTGTTAAAAACTCCTCCTTTGCAGAAACGCTTACACTCGCACAATAGTTTTCGCAGAATGCTGGGCACAATTTTTGCAAGTAAAATTACATCAGGAAAAGAAACCTATGACTTATGGGGTGAGGTTTGCTGCTCCTCACTTAAATAACAAAAGACAGCAATAGTGTTGCATTTCTAGGCCACAGCTCCTATCTTCATGGCACACTTCCTTCATACAGACGGGACGAGGATGGACATTATGAGTTGGCCATACTCGCACGGGTTGTCATTGCAGGAATGAGCTAAAGCGGACGCAAAGAGCCTTAAAGACTATTGGCTGAGACGAGCAATCAATCCCAGAGACCATTTAACCAAATCTCCATACATTTAATGATAAACGTCTTAAAATAAGTTCCACTAAGGTAATGAAAGTCGAGGGGAAGGAGCAGATGGAGCAGATACTAAACACTTAGTGTATTTTTATCTCATTTTAGTAGGTAAATAGGTGAAATTAATGCCGCAACTCGGGTACCATTCGAAGGATTGAGAGTATTGTGCTTCTACCACTGCACCTTTTTAGAAATGCCTATCATGATTCCTTATAAGTTTTCCCTTCGACTATACGGATAAACGTTCGGCAGACTTCATTTTGCTTTAAAGAAAGAGCACGGTATGTTAAAGGCATCAAATGTACCAGGTAAGACGCATCTTTAGAATCGTAGTCACTTTGGTTCAAAAACTATCAGTATTAATACTACATGGGCTTTACGAAACGCTTCACAGATTTATTTTAATAAAACACACTTGAAAATTTTTGCAAGCCTGTAGGAATTTAATTATCCGTGATAACTTGGTCTTGTTTGCAAAGGGCGGATAAAAACCGAGCTGTCACATATTTCTGATTATTTAATTGAACGTCTGGTGAGTCGCTTCTCGAATTACTTATTCTTTGAAGTAAATTTTATTTCCTTGCGCGAAAACGCGTACCCCATATGCCAATTGATCCGGCACGTGTAATAAAGGGTTATAAAAATTTTTAGCTGAAATTGAAGACCTTGACCATGAATGAAAAGAACTAAAGGGATTTACAACCCAACGAATGAGTTTTCAAGTGGAATTAAATGAGTAAATGCAGGAAACCCAAGAAATCTGAAAAGAACCAAAGTGCCTCGGTTTACGCCTGATAACATCAGGAACGGGGTCGTAAATGTGTCAGTAATATCGACATTAAGTCAAGATAATAAGACCATTTGATGAGTGCTACTGAGGGGTCAACCGTTCATTAATCTTGGCTAAAGCGCAATCAGACTCCAAAACCAACTAAATAACAAATTTTCTAACATCAAAATAAATGTTGTAAACTAGTTTATTTAAGTGAAGACACTCGAGCAGTTCCAATGCAGACCTCTAGAAGCTTACTTTCTCTCCCACTGATTTAGTAGACCAAGGGATAGGCAATTTACTTGTCATGCAAATAAGCTGACCAATAGACAGTAAGAATTAGAAAAGCCACATGCATAATTTCCATTGGCTGTCTCTATTCCCCCTGAGCAGTGCTCTGAGCCAATCAGATCACTGACTGAAATGTAAGTTGGCACTAGGACAGGCTCATGCACGTTTTAGGCAGCAAAAGCCCAACCGGACGTGGTGCTGTATCTCCTTCCTCTCCTTTTACGTCCGTCCAATAGAATCTAAACTAGCTGTCGAATTAAAGGTGACTATGTTTAAGGCAGTTTTTTACGATGAACTTTTGTGGATTTCTACCTTTGATCGTTAGCTGACATCAAGACGACCTCATTTGAATTCTGGCCGGTGAAAAATTGCCGGTAGGTGACATTCAGTAAGACTTGCGTTGTTGCGAATGAACAAGTTATTATTAAAAATAGTGTGTAAGGGCAATCTCTTTGTTTGAAATGAATTCTTCAAAACTCGTCGAGCATAAAATAATTGTCGCGTCACTTGGCTACTTTGCGGCGTTGGTTTGTGATACCTGCGTCGTAAAATTATATCTGTACCACTTAATACTCAAAACAAATTTAGGAGAAACTGAACGATTTGTTCTATCAAATTTAATGTACTTTTTCTTAAGCTTCCGTACTTATCATGAGCATTAAAATGCATTACTAATGAGACTTGATTGATTAAACGAGCCTTACGCAATCTAGCAACCAAATGTTAGGATTTTATCACAATCATCGAAAGACATATGTTTGTAGACCAATTAAAATTCTTGAAGTTAGAGTGTGCTCGAAAAGATAATGAGATCTGGAAGATGGATTTTCGTATAAGTCTTGTAATGTCATGGGAGAGCCGATGATTTGCTTTCACAAAGGAAAAGTGATAAGATAAGTATGAATATTATTGCTTTAACCTTCGGTACCAATGGAATATGAAATTGTACTCGACCTTACCGATGCCAGGAGGATTTGCAGAATTTGCTATTGTGCTATTCTACTAGGACTTGATGCAAGTAATATGCATTGAGGTTACTGTCGAATAGGAAGAAATACATTTTGGGGGCAGCAATGACGTAGACTATTGGAATGTGCTTTGTGGAGTCGTACTCGCTGTAAGCATGAAAGGCTGACTGTATTCTGACTTGCTTGAGTTGGAATCGTGGAGTTCGTGCAATGCCTTTTAATATGAGGAACTGATCCATTTATTTTGTGGGGAAATACGGATTGAAATAAGTTACCTTACTCTCCCCTCCCCACATTCCCTGACGGGTCGTGTTTATTCCGGTTATTTATGGTTTCTTTCACTTACAGACTTCAGCTCCCAAAGAAGCTCTACAACTTGTCTAAACTACACATTATTTGAAGCACTTATGGAGGGCTACGTTTGTCCTAGTGATCGTCAACTGGCTCTGCGAGCAAGGTACTTTTCAGACATAACTTCGATATCCTTTTGTAAGCAGTGATAGTAGCTGCGGTGGACTCACTTACTGCCACTATGCATTAGCCAACACACAGTAACAGGAAGTAAAATGTTTGATCTTAATGAAGACAGAAACATCATTGATGAAATTGACAAAACGATGCTAGATTTATCTTTATGAAGATTTGGTCCACCTAAACCATTGAAAATGGAAGGTGTACTTCATCTCAACTACTTATGAAGCTTTCTATGGCATTTGGTGCCCAATACAATACGAACATTTCTCTAATCCGTAAAACAAAATAAAAAGATTCAATATGATTCGAGTAAAATGACCGAGGATTTCGCCCTAATTTCCGTACATAGGCACGTCATTTAAAATTCAATTTTGCTGCGGAAGTGTGACCTCCCTAAAACGTTGTTCCATAGCGTTTGGAGAGTTCGGTTGAGGAGGAAAATAAGTTTATATCCAGAGAAATAACCGAGAAGTATTATTAGGAACGTCACGAAAGTGGTAAATGAGCTCTGTGTGCCCGTGATGGATAAACATTTAATGTTTCCTAAGCGCAGCAAGTAACGCTAGAAATCGAAGTTTCGGATTTTTTTAGGTTGGGTACCGGCTGGTCAACTGTTGCTCAGACAAATCAGAGGCGGGCGAATGCAAGGTTGTCAAACGAGGAGTTGGACCACATCTATCGTGTACTTCAGCGCAATGAATCAATTAATGAAAGAGAAAATAGACGTGTCGAGTTAGTGTTCTCAAACTGAATCTGATATGTCGTGACTACATTCAGTATATATCATGCATTTTTTGAACTCATTCACCTTAATTTTATTCATTAGCTTGCTGTGGCCTACGAAACAAGGCAATGTTTCATTTTGCTATAATAGAATAAACATTATGCACCGTATTTTACTTATTTAAGAATAAGTTTGTGTGTGAACATTTCCACATTCAATTTCGAAATTATGATAAGCAGCAAATTATCAAATACAAAGACTTCGTTCATAATAAATGGCGCAGTTTACTAAGCATAGAGGTGCTTCATTGCGGTGATAACCAATGCTGAAAACACTAATGCAACAGATAATAAGTCTTTATTCGGCAATTTGCATTTTGCTATAATCCTCTGTTCTCATTGCGGTTCCACTTATAGATCTATGTTGAAGAAGTTGGAACACATGAAGATCACTACAGTGGCGCAAAATAAAACAGCGTGCAACATTTGTGGCCACGAATTTGGTCTTCTACTTAAGTCTTCCACGCACTGTGCAGATTGCGGACGCCTTGTTTGCAATCGATGTTCCGTGGAGTATACTGAGGAGCTTCCAGAGAAGCTAAGGATAACCAGCGATGCTTCCAACATTTCACCCTCAAGGTACCTCCCACCAGGATCGTTGGGGGTATCAGGAGGTAAACGGACGGGTTCGCGAGTGCTGCAACGTCTGTGGCAGTCGCGTCAGCTATCAGAACAGAGAGACGATGCCAAAGAAGGGCTCAACCCTCACGACCAGTCGGCTTACAATGGAACAATTGGGGCTCGATCGAAATACAAATCATTCTCACTTGAGCGACATCAGTCACTGTCGCGACTTTCGAATATCTTCTCGATTCAAATGCCTCTCACTCCAAGTACTTCACTCACATCTACAAGTAATCGGTTTCATCTCTGCAAACTCTGCTGTGAGGCGAGAGAAGTAAGTGCACGCTGAGAATTACAGTTTCAACCTTTCTGTGCAGCGATTGGTTTTGTAACTTTAAGAAGGGTCAGGTGTTTGTCCTGAATCAGTTGATAGAGAGTACGTAGTACGTGATCTTTTGAATATTAATTGGAAAGTAATATTCGTCAAGCTTTCATCAGAAGAAAAATGGTTAAGAAAACAAAATTTTTAGACTATGAATAAGGCTGTGATTGTAGAAGAGAGCCATTTGGTGCATAATCAACGAGCAGAGTCCTAAAGTGCCGAAAGGTATTGGTGTATTTACCTAAGTCCTCTCCCCATATTTTCAGCATGGTGCCCCAGAACCGCACCAGGTTAAAAGGATTCAAGAAGGCCACCAACATTAGTATCACTTCTTTCATTGCAAATCGCATACTCGATAAAGGTACTCTAAGGCTAATGTTTTGCAAGCTATAGTTTCTGGTCCAAAATCTAAGCTATAAATGATGTTTAATTGGATAAGTGAGTTCTCCACTCTTCTGGCGCCAAGAAATGGACTCCATCTTTTACAAACAAGCACAAGCACAAGTGCAGATGATAAAATTCACCATTTTACTTTCGCCTAGCGACGAAAAGGCTGCAAGACTGAAGATCTTTTTTTGTAAAATATAACATTAAAAATACCATAACATAACTTTGAGCGGCACACTCCATTTCATGAAGCTGATTAACGCCTTCGCTGCATCGAAAACCATGTTAAAGATACTCATATAATTGGTCGTCATTGCGCTGTTAGAATTGAACAAATTTCATGCTCGTTCCCACGATAAAGAGGGCATGCGAAAGCGGTAGGTCTCACAGAATCGCACAAAATAGCAGAATAGGATGCAAACGTTTCATCTTGTGAGGCCGCCGAAGTATTGATATTGGTTGAGAGGTCTGAGTAGAGCTTTTATTCAGACAAACAGAGTGTTTACTTGGACGGTTGTGTCGTCAGGCCAGTGAGGAAGGAAGGAAAAGGAGAATAATGACAATTTGTGTTGGTTGTTCCATGACCTCACAGGGACACTCAGGCCATAAGGCAATTGAAGGTACGCATTCAAAAATTATACAAGATTTAAGCAGTTTTTTGTGTGTATATGCAGAAGTGTAGCATCCGAAAGTAGTCTAGGTATCGGAACTGGAAGTATGAAGATAAGAAGTTGATGTAAACCATACTGTCGGTGATTTAACTCTTCCCCTTCTCTCCTTGGATTCTGCAAACTCGTGAATGATGCAAAGTACCAATAGCCTAAGGATCGAAGAGCCAGTTGAAAATGTTTTCTGGATTATTTTATGGTCAGCAAGGTAAAAACTGTGCTTTTAGCGGGTTGGGTACGACAATTGAAATAATTTCTATGTGGCCTACCTCTTTGGGGTTCAAAAGTAGTGACCGCCCTTTAAAAAAACAATTTCTTATTTGCGCTTGCGATCCACGGAACACGAGTGCCCGACTTCTCAGTCATTCTATGGTAAAAGTAACACGTTTTGCTGACTATTGTGCTATAAATGGGTGGAGAGGCAAATTTAACAAGGTGAATAAATTTAGGGAAGAAATCATGCAGTTAGGGGTTGCCAGGGGAAGACAAGCAAACACTGGAAGATTGCAATGACAAAGGTGTGAATCTAACAACACTTATCCATCAAAACGTCGACTTCTTGAGAAGTAATGGTTTAATCAATTTCTCATCTTGAAGTGATATGCGATTAAATAATTAACAATTACAGCCTTAAGAAGTAGCACTTTTCTGAGAACTCTTTCATTCACAAGCCATGTTTCTAGTGCGTATATTCTGTTTTTATGTTGTAGATTGTGATTTGTTAAGAGGCTTTTACGAATGAAGTTAGTTGCTATTGGTCAAAACCGAATAACAGAATGTAACGCTGTAAAAAACTATCGTCGTGCATAATTAGGCCAAAGTAGTTTAGAAAGATTTCACGTCACACTTGAGAATCATAATGCTTTGCAACTGCATTATTCTTTCTGTTCTCATTTGCATTCAGATATGGAAGAGGTCAGGCGCATGGTTTCACATGAGCCTCCCCAAAGGCGGCCTTCATAGTAGTTGCCCCGCCAGCCCACTGACTGCGAAGCCACTCACGGCAGTAGACGGATGGACGAGTCTGCTTACTCGTGGCTCTGGCGAACACATTTCCTCAGCTGGTGGTGTTCAAGCTAGCGACGACGACTGGACACGCATTGAAAGTAATCCATCATTGTGCCACATATCATTTCCTTTAGCGGCGCTAGGCTATGCATAAGGGTCCTCGTGCCGTTCATGACTTGAACACCTGTGTTCAAAACAAAGGCGCCGATTTGCTTAAATTTATTCACCTGCTACTAAAGAAACAATTACGATTTCCAGTATTAAATATGAGGGTAGTATTTTAGTTTAACCACCGCTTCATTTTCTTTTACTCAATGGGAGGACAAATGTTGCATCCAAAACGTGAGTAAATTGGTGCACACAACATTGTGTGCAACAGAAACAGGGTAGGCAGAGAAAAAGCACGAAATAATTGATTTGATTTTAAGAACAAACATTATTCTTTATCAAAATGGAACGACAGATTCTCCTTTGATGTGCTGACTTTAGAGAGGCCTCCGGAGCCAACAACACCAAACGAAGGTGTCGGAAGTCACTGCGGTTTTACGAGTAAGTCACATGTGTCGATGTGCCTTAAGCATGTAATCTGCTAAATCATCTAGCATTACAAATTAATTTAAGTTACCGTAAAATGTGTAGTGAGTCCTCTTGATTGCAACTAACACTGTAGAGAAAAACCAACGGAAACACTACAAAGCACTGCTATGGTAGTTTGTGGATGTTTTTCAAAAGCGGTATGCTTCTCTGCTGTCTCCACATGCACCACTGATGCGATAGCACTAGTCGCGAATCGACCGTTTCGCTTTGCCTACTGTAAGGCTTGAAAATAAGTAGGTACATCAATAAAACGTTTGCATTTGGGAGAAAGTCAAAAGTCTCAGTGAAATAGTTGGCAGATAATGTAAAAAATTCATGGGCAACATTTTGTTTTTTTGTCAGCAGATTGGTAAGGGCAAATGCATAAATCAACGATCCAAAACTCATGTAAAGCTCTCTACTTTATTCGAATAAGAAGACCAGTGTATTGCGCAATAATTTAAGAATACGTTAGAGAAGATTGTAGGCAATTAATAAAAGCTTGTCCCATTCTTTTAATGAAAATTAGGGCAAGATAATGTTCCACGGGTGGTCTTCCACACAGAGGCTTAGACAATCAGAATTTTAGCAGAACTTATTTCATACGCGATTAGGAAGTCTACCATGCCGAACCTTCTGGTAAATTTCTGGTGGAGTAAAATTTATTAGAAATAACGCTAGACGCATAAATTAATGATTCAACTTACCTACTTCTTCATGGAGGTTAACGTTTAAGCTCATTACGAAATGTAAGTATTCTAACCAAGCTATTCAATCAAGAGCTAGGTTGAAAGTAGAGTTAACAGATGCAGTTTCGTGGTAGAAAGCTAGAGGAGCTGCCGGTTTGTAGCGGACATTGAGAGCAACATAAGTTAACCTTAAAATTGCATCGAGAGTAGAGTTTCGATAATGAAGTACAACGATGTAATAGTTTCTAGTTTCCCACCTGAAGACGTTAAATCATCGGTTGGGGAGCCCAACAGCTCCTCTAGCACAGTCATCACAAACTCGGGCAACGGGGCAGGTAGCGGCGCAGTCACTCACCCAGGAAGTTCCCACAACTTATTTGAATCTCCAACTTGGAAGCCAGTACTGGAGCATCAACAGCGGCAGCATCAGACACTTTTGCCATCGCCAATATGCAAAAGAGACCAAAAGGCACCTCGACAAATTCATGAATCGCTCTCTCAGAACAGTTTTCGTTCAACTGAGAGATCACCCCAACGTGGAAGTGAATCAAAAGTCCAGAGCCTTTTTCCTGAAACTAGGTTGGGCCTCGGAGTCACCAGTCCTAAGATTGCCCCATCCACGTTCACTCTGTCCCCAGAGCTGAAGTTCAACAAAGTTTCCCCATCTTGCCGAAAGTCTGCTGTTCCTTTCGCAGAAGGTAACCACATAATGTGCACTGCATCTATCGCAGTGTGCTGACTGTTTGAGTAAGAACAATACTTTTATTCACAGATCTTCCTGACTAAGCATCATTTTTAATAAAATATTTTTCATAGATTCTTAAGCAGAATCCACTCGTAAATACTTTCTTTGACGGGGATAAGCCTGACAAAGTATCGACCATGTTATGCTAGCAAATATTTTTTTACTTACCATAGCTCCTCTGGGAATTCTCTACTTTTCTGTCACATACGATCCTACCAATTGCGAGCTTCACGTCCGGATACACAATGCTAAGGTACGTTAAGACTACTCACCAACTTAATCGTGGAAAACAGCTACATTATTAGGCGCCATTTGAACCGTTTTGTGAGTCCCAGAACTCGAACAAGTGAACAATTACTTTTTACAAGGCATACCTGTTTAAATATTAGGATAGATGAGTGGCATGTCCCATACGAATTGGATCATTCTTTCGACTTTGTATGTATCATATCGACCATTCAGAACCTCATCGCAATGGATGCTAATGGACTTTCGGACCCATTTGTTGTATGCCAGTTGCTGCCAACTGTTGGAAAACAATTTCGCACCCGAACGATTCCCCAAGACCTTAACCCTGTTTGGAATGAAACATTTACTTTTGTTGGGCTTGACAATCGAAAGCTTGAAAAGAAAATTCTTAGGTTAGTTAAAAATTTGATTAGCAACTTTCATGCATTTATGTTTTTTTCACCAGTGCTTCACTGGAGGAATATTACACACAATATGAGTCAATTTTGTTTCGAAATATGTTTCCATTTGGTGCGAGCTTCCATCCTTATTTTGCTTTAATTCCTACTAAAATAGACAACTAGTCATTTGCCCACAATAACCTGAGCACATTTGTCCCGTTTCCACTATTCAGCCCTCACCTTTCAGCACTAAGGAAAGAAAGCATGGGAATTAAACGGCTTTTTCATAGCTAATGAACAAGTCGTAGTTTTTAAAACGAATTACTCAAGAGACAATTGGAAATGAAAAGAGAAACTTTTGCACAAAAGTACTATTGTTAATATATGAAAATGGCACTTAGTGTTCTGTATGAGGTCAGCAGTCATTCCTCACACTAGTCTAGTGAAGTCAAGTGGCATAAATAATTAACAGCGTTGTTAGGCCTGAATTATATGCTAAATGCATAGTTCCAGCCGCATAACTAGGACCTGTAATTGTACACGAGGTCATAGAAGGGGAGATGATTGAATAAGTTATAACCACCTCTTTTTTTCGAATTCATTCAATGCTACAGGGAGAACATTTTTTTTTAATTAAATCATATGAAGGTTAGCGGGTTTAGTCGCCAACTCATTAGGCCTCTTTGGGCAGAGTATCGCATGGAGCCGAACACACTATGCATTCACACTCATGCAGGTTGGCCGTCTTGGATGCAGACACTTTTGGTGCAGACTGGCTGGGTGAGTACCGTCTCGGTCTTGGTGAATTGTTGCCGGATCGAGTATCGGAGTTCGCAGTCCCTTTGAACCCTCGCAAGCCCGTAAGTACGGCTTCAAATGTTGACGTATCTTGTCTGACCACCTTCATTAGTATCGAAACAGAGTTCACTGATTGGGGCTCTAAGGCGCTAGAAGTAAATTAATCTTCACTTATTGAAGCACCTAATGAACTATGGCTAATGGGAGTTAGGGTAGAGAGACAAATAATAAATTATTATTGGTATTGGTATCTTGTTAATGCAAAAATGCTCTTCTTGTCGAACCTAATCACTCCTATAACTTTATCAGCTTTCCAAGGAGATTGATGATTTGGCGAATCCCACTCGAGGAAAAATACAAATTTCGATGCAGTATATTGAGGAGGCAAAGCAGCTTTGCGTAGAAGTCCTACGATGCGCCGATCTGGCTCCAATGGATCACAATGGGCTCTCTGACCCGTTTGTAAAGCTGTATGCTTGCATTCATTCTATTGTGCCCATGTCTTAGTGGCTTAATAGGAGGTGCTGAAAGGGCTATTGACTACCACTGCAACAACAATTTGCTAACCATAATTTGAGCTTTTAGGCCTTTGACAGATGGTCATTTGACAATAATTTCATAACCCCATTTGACTGATCTTTGTTTGTCAGTTATGTTCTTTGGTAAATGATAACCGATTTGAGGACGTAGAGGTGAACGCTAAGGTCATCCTTCACAGACGTGGGAAGGAAACGCAACTGCATCGTCGTTTTATCACTGCAATAGAATTCGCCAGCACATAAGCACATCAACGGAACTTATTCTTCCTTTCCTAGACACGTGGAACACTCATCCTGCTGACTTTCTGATTTAGGTATCTTCGGCCTGACAAACTGCGCAAAACTAAACAAAAGACCAAAGTTAAAAAATCTACGCTTTTTCCGGAATTCCACGAGGTACGTCGGTAACGTTTAAATCGCCAGAAATGGACAAAACAAATCTATAGGACACTCGAAATTTAAAGTTGGAGGACTCTTAAGCCAATCATCGTAGCATTTTGCTAATGAGGAAAAGTCTGTTTCAGTGAATTGACTGTCTAACTCACAGACATTCGCAAAATAAGACTGTAATTACACCTAATCCCAAAACAAACATACTCTTGTTTACATTATGCTCTATAAAACATGCGTATTCCTCCATGAAGGGAGTTTCGCTTCCTAAATCATAAAGAATGGACATTGTTGTCAATACCAGGGGATTTTGTAAAGGCGACAAAATCTGTTCACTATCGTGTTTAGCAAGTGCCCTCATCAAGAAGAGCATTAAAATATGCTGAAAATTTAGCGTAATAAATGTATGGTCGCACACCATTCAAAATAACGTATTTTTAGTGAGTCGGAAGTTCAAGGATTTACCATTGAAAGACTGGAAACACTGGGCAAACATTGCTAACGCACAGATTTCCTTCGCAATGCAGTTAGCTACATTTCTGGTTCATGTGATTGTAGTCCTTCTGACACTTCCATAATTTACTCCCAATCCCAATTCCAGAGAACCAACCACATCTTAACTCATTAAAAAAGACCAGAATATGAGCTTTGTGTTTTGGTGCTCTCAATTTGTCTAGTAGGACAGCAAGTAGTTTAGAGTTTAGATTCGAGCCATTGGCCTAGATTTCGATCGTAATTTCGTGGTATCGTTATGGGAACCTTCCCATTTTCATTAAAATGTTGTCTTTTCATTGCAAACTCATGGGACAGTCCCTGTGCTGTTATAGACTTTTCTAACCAACCGATTGAAACAAATTCTGGGGTACCTGGGAGGCTGACACTTGTGTAGATATCAATTACCATGTTCTACAGACGTGGCAGACAAAGCCAGTACTTTTAGGGTTGATGATGAACCTCTGTGCAGACTGACGGAAGTATTGTTTTATCGATTGCGCAAACCCCTTATCGACATTTACTTGAGACTAATCAATGTGGTGACTCTGATTTGAACTTATCTCGCGGTAGAAATTATGTGGGATGTATTTTATAGTTTGTTTGTGCTGAGTGTGAAATAGTGCCGTGTAGCACACTAAATATACTTTCCGGAAGGACGCTTTTCACAGAATTTGATTGAATGCAGCCACTCAAATTGCTATCACCGCAACATGAACAGATTGGTCCAAGCAGTGTAGATGACAAACATTACTAGTGTATACTGACGTGATGGAAGCACACCAAGCTAAGCAACAAAAGCATGTCAGGCCGCTAGATAGAAATAGAGGTAAACACTCATGAATGACCATCACAGATTGACCCTGCAAAACTGTTGCTCAAATAAACATTGGCTTTAGGGGCAACGCATAATTGTACGTTGATTTGAAAACAAATTTGGTGACTTATGACAGTCTGCAGTGATCAGTGAAGTGCCGTGCCTTGCAGTGCCAACTTTTAAGCGGCGCCGGCGATTAGCGAATGCGATACACTCGCACATTAAAATACTCATTAAATGCAATCACTTGGCAAGTGTTTCATTCACGTGAGTTTTTAAAAGGGTAACCAATCAAAGCATATAAGATGTGATACTAACGTTACCGTTCCTATTTATTCTTATTTTACCAAAGGATAAAATTCAGACTATTAAACATCTCAAAAATGAGTCAGTGTCCCTAGGTTGCTAGATTGCGTCATGGTCCCGAAAAATTACTAAACAACTAAATTTGAATACAGCAATTTTTCTTCGCCATGGATGCCTCGGAAGTAAATAAGCGTACTCTGGAAATAACAGTATGGGACTTTGATCGAGGAGTGAAAAACGATTTCATCGGCGGCCTGACACTGGGCGCGAAGGCTAAGGCGGAACGACGCGAAGTATGGCAGGCGGTGTTTCGGCCACCCTACCGACGCTTCGAGGCCTGGTTTCAGCTTGCCTCTCGCTCCGACAACGAGTATCTCGGCAACAGATCTCAGACTGCCGGCGAAGGCACCATTGACCACTATTCAGCTTCGGGCATTTGCGACTAGTCGGTTTTACGTAACCTATCCTTAACTATTCCCCCATACAGGTGGGTGATCTTCTACATACACGTCCATGCGTGTGCGAGGGACCGTGTTCATGAATATACAAGCTCATCCAAGTATCCGGGACCTAAGGGTGTTATCCATGTCTGTATCACTTCAATCTATTGCCACCATTTCTCTTACTTTCTTCTCCCTTCCCTCTATTTCTTACTCTATGGGTTGACACAATACTCCTTCACTTTGTATTCGACCGTTGTTAAGGTCAATAATGATCTTCTTCCTATTTACTGAGCATTAACCGTTGATCACCGTGTGTGGCGTGCAAGACTTGTTCTTACATATTGTGAAGTTGGTGAAGAAAGTAAATGACTAGCATTACATTTTCTTACCGCAAAATTAGTGGGCAAATCGAGCATGGTGTTTTCGATTGTTTCGGACAAATACGAGCTCATTTAAGCATTTTGTGCACGTCGATGGGTCAAAGTCAGGGATTTTAGTAATAAAGCCTTAACATATTATCACATTGTGGGGTACGCCTATTTTAACGAGTGATGTAATTCTGAGGTCAATTCCTCTGACATTTTTAATGCAGGTGGGCCGTAATCTAGGCATACAAAAACGCACCCATTTTTTACTGACGGCTTTTGCAGCGGAGGAGGAAGGGGATAATGGGTTAAATTAACTCCCCTATTTACCAACATCCCAAGAGACTACTTTGTCATTCAGATGTTGTGTTAGTGGTAGATTATTTCGACGAAGATCGAAACTAATCTCTTGCAGTTAGCATCGACTGCCATGATTGTCTCTAAAGCCTGAGAGCGAAGGACTCTACTGCAATTTTTGAGGATCTTTGCATTGATGGGACTTTACAATTTACCAAAAGGGACAAACAAAGGTTGTTTGAGGGGGATAAGAATGGGATCGCTTACATTAACGTGTGTGAAAACCGCCCATGATTAATCTCTTTGGGCATCATCAATCCCAGAACCAGCAGCGACAAACGCTCCGCTTTAGTAACCTCTCCATGAATAGATACTTTACATAGTGCACTTTCCATCAGCTTGCGACAACAAACTGTAAGCAGCTGGCAAAGCCAGATGAGGACACTATCCAAGTCTGAAATAAGAGCAATATTCAATGCCATTGGGTCGCTACTGTTTTGGATTTAACAATATCGTTGAAGGAAAATCTGACAGTGCTTTCCTCCACGATGCCAGTCAGAACACAAATTACAATTAGGCCCTACATGAAATTAGAAACTTCATTCACAACTCGTCTTTCACACTAAAATTAATTTTAACAACGATATACAAGTGTTTACTAAGTTATACTATTTCCATTCGTCGTTTGGAAAGGATGCGTGGGAATTTTGGACGCTGCGGTCGAAATCGGATAAGTAAACATTTAATTAAAAATGCATGACTCTTCATGCACGAAAGTTGACAGACAGACAAGTTCAAAGCAAGTGGCCAATAGGTACTTTTGTTTTAATGCCAAGAAATGGACTGCAACCATCGAAATAGTTCTGTACGAATCGGTAGAAGCGGGAACCGAATTCCGGGGGTGGACATTTATTTATAAGACTGTTTGAATTCCATTTCGACAATAGGGTGGCACGTAAACAAAAGTGCGACGCCGTAGGGACTGCAAGCATCAAGATAGTTTACTTTTGTCACGAACTCAAGAGCGTTGATTAGGAAGCAAAAACGCAAAATACTGGGATAGGTATGTAGTAAACTTGGGCGTCCTCTTCTCAAGGCTTTCGAAAGAAGCCTTTTCTGGAAGAGAAAAATTTGCCATCCCTGGGTTACAATGGATCAGATGTGTATAAAGAGGAAGAGGTTCACTTGGGGGGGGGGGAGAAGACTTTGCCTCCGCGGATCCTCGAGAGCTACGTTTGGATTAAAGTCCCGCCTCTTTCCTACTAAGCACTATTTGAACACGCAATATGAGGTACAAGACACGGAAAAGTATGGGGAGAATTATTTCTGTATAATGTATAAAGTGGTGTATGAATAGAGACTTGGCACTGTGGACATGTCCTTCTGTGATTAAAACCAATAAAACACCCAAGTACAATGAGATGATATTGCCCTAGTTACACGCTTGTATCACATGGGGAGCGAACTCGCCCTCACTATTAACCGGAGGATGTGATCCCCACCATTGGTTTGCCGGCTACCTGCAAATCCTACAGATCTGAAAAGACAGACCATCAAATCAAGTCAAAAGTTGGCTCACTTCCATACCAAAGTCGATCGGCAGACATCTTTAGTAGGCATTGGAGTTTTAATCAACTTGTCAAATGCAGTTGAAATCTTCCGTTGGACCATTATAAACGTATCCATGTGTGATGTAGGGCCCTTTTTATTTGAAAAGCTTTAATGTCCCGAGTAATGGAATGCGTTGAAATTACCTGTAGCGCGGGCTTAACGCGTTTAGCATAGTAACCAAAATTGTTTTGGCGAGAAAAATAATTGGAGTAACATCTCACTAAACTCTTAACCCATCAACTTCAGAGGGCTGAATTTTGATGAGCTTCATAGTGACGAGCTTTGTGAAGCACACTTTTATACGAAATGTTACGTGTGCGCATTGCACTCGTTCTAGTGCAGCTGGTCAGTTGTTTAACTCACTTATTAAACAGATGAGATACATATGCTAATAAAAATTGACATCTCCGACATTGCCATAGTTATCCGGCGCGAGGCGGGATTGGTTACTGAAGCATCAGCTTATTTATTTCAAGGACGCAGTCTGACTGCTTATGGTCAGCATCGCATCTATTTGAAAACAAATTGACTTGAGCCTTTGATTCGCCTCCATGCCTGCTTTGTGCCACCACTGATATGCCCAGTGCAGTTTTTTGTAATGTGAACGTTTAATTAGTCATCCTAGTTCTTGTGGTACATTTCTGTACTGTAACTTATTCTTAAATAAGCTCATTTTGAAAGCGGCAAATGCATTTGATGTCAAAACATGTGACATGTGATAGTGCCGTGGTGAGCGCGAGAATGAATAGGTTCGTATTTACAAAATTGGAAAAATGGTAGATTTGAAGGTGGAGTATTCTAAGTAGAATAGCACAATAGCTGTCTGGGAAAGGAGTCTTGACGTAAGGTGTTCAGGATCCGCAGTATACACCCTTCATCGATTTTGGTCTATAAATTATGAGAGTCGCTTGAGTGAGGAAAGTTGAAACAATAATGTAGCACATAATGATTGTTTAAATTGTTTTTCGTAAGAAAGAGGCGCGAGTTCAATCTTACCGCCGTGCAAGTGGAGTGGAGTGAAGCGCATCTAAGGTGTACACCTACTTCTGCTGACTATGCCTATGTAGTAACGCCCAATAAATCATCATCAAACAATCCCCTTCCAAGAAGACTGAGATTAAGGACAAAGAGGGTGGGAAGGAAGGTGCTACAAACGGCCTTATCTAATGGGCGATCATCGGAATTCAACTGATGTCGCATTCTAATGCATAGAATTTGATTTGAACTTTGAGTTAAATTCTCGAAGTTCCTTCATAAAATGAAGTGGCTCCATCCACGTACCATATATTTTCACGACTAAATACAATTAGAAAGGATTTGTTAGGTTCACAGAATGTTTTTTGAGTTCAAATCCATGCATATAGCAAGTTGTTTTCTGTTGTTGAAATCATTTTAAGTTAAAAATGATGACAAATAAGCTCCTAGTATGATTAAGAAGAGGCGCGTGAACCAATTCATGTTCCATTGGCGCTCGCCATTGCATCATGTATAAACGATATGTTCTTCTCAGGATCTTCCTCGTTGCGGGACGTATCACTGGGCGATCGATCCCAGGGGGCCATCGCGAAAGCTGCGTTTTCAACTTCCCAAGCATTAGGACCAATGTTGGCGGTGTTGGTAGAAGGAAAGGGAACACAAACCCCGAAGGGAGTGTCAAACTGTTGAGGAGTATCCTCCGGCTGCCATCTCATGGTACTAGGGAAGAGCTCCATATGGTAGGGCGGGGAGAATGCTGTAAATGGGACGCGTCGAAAACTCTTCCGTTGGTCGTAATTTGGACAGTAGCTGTGAGCTTGATAATACCTCCTCCGTTGCCTCTCTTCACCTTCTTCGTAGCGTTGGGCAAGTGTCATAGGAACGTGTCTGGACCTACTCTGGTGGACTGAGGTCGGAAGTAACATGCCCCTTTTCTTTTGTAGGAAGTCAACGTTGGTTAATCCATACATAATCGAGAAAAGTGATGAGAATAGCAAGTCGTTTACATGTGTTAGAATTCTACCTCAATCGAAAATTGTTCTCAACACTGGTTACATCTGCGATATCGAATAGACTGAAGATCACACCACCACTCTAGCATATCGTACGCATTGGATGGAGGAGTAAAGGACTAGTCAATCTATTGTATCTAGCTTCCAACCTTCACAAACGTATCCATAAGCTGCTGGGAGAACCAAGTAAAAGAGTTAGTGATGATGCAATTTACCTCCTTATTAAGAGACCGAGGGCGTTTGAATTTACACAGCGATCTCAACAATTGAGACGCGACTTGACGACAGGAACGATGGATTTCTGAGAGCGTAGATTTCCGTTCTGCACTCAAAGCCTGAACCACGGCCTTGCAGTAGTGAACTCCACCCAGTTCAACGAAGTGACTTAAGGAAGGTAAAAAAATAAGGAAAACAACGATGATCAGCCAATGTATTATAAATTAATGAAGGGGATTGAGGCAGTTTTGAGAACAGCCACAATCTATATTCATGACTTTCAAACTGTGTTACTAGTCGACAAATTTCGAAGTAAAAAAGCCAAAGTTTGCTTTTCTAAGTAGCCGTGAAATGCTTCTACGACCTCTGCCATTCTGACTTTGAAGGGATTACACAGTTTATGAGTTACCAAATGAGCAGTTGCCATCAGCGTGGGACATGGATATGCATAGGTAATTTAGAAAGGCTAGCTAATGACCAAGTATTGTTACATATTTCGAGTAACTCATATTTTGCGAAGCAACAATGAGTCCAAACCTTAAGGGGCAATATTTCAAACCTTAGACAAACCTCCTCCTGCCTACACTCAGATAACCTTCCGTTCAGCCTAGAGATCCAGAGAAGCATTGTTTGATAACCTCGACCCTAAGAGAAAAGTCACTATCATTCAGTGTTTGAGCAACTAATGACGAATGAGTAATATTCTCCAATGGTATGCGAAAGAAGGGTCAAACAAAATTAACAAAATTGGAGTGAAATTTAGTTGGAATTAAATATGTTGATGGTAAGAGGGAAGAGCAAATGAAGTAGGAAACCTCAAGGCTTCTGATGTAGTGTATAACTAACACTTGTCACAAAGGTAGTCAGCGCCAAACCATAATGCATTCGCAAATGGAAGGCGGACCGACAAAACCGACATAAATTAACATTTGCTACATTTTCATGATCAAATCAAGTTGAATGATTAAGATGTATTTAATTCAGGGTAAGCTAAAAAATCTGGTCAACCCACTATCAAAACTAAGACTCATTAGAATGTGGCGTTAAGAACAATGTCTTTGTTGCTTCCATGATCAAAGCTGGTGTCTCGTTTGACATTCACGATTATCAGTTCACTTCATGCGGACCCAAATGATCGATCTTCTTCATTTCCACACTTGAATCCTACGAAAATTGTAGTGACGGTGTCGTAAGTATCACTATGAGTTAATTTGCAAAAAAGAAATAGCCTCTCATTAAAACTTTAATCTTACAATTACCAAAGCATTGGAACTAATGGCAAGTTGCAAAAAATTTAAATAAATACTGTGACGGAGGGTTGTCAACGTGGAGAAAGAAGCGAAATGAAAAAAAGATGCTTTGCAATGATAGCGCGGTTTTTCCCTTCATTTGTGCATTTTCTTGACTCTTTTAAGCGTATTTGCGTTTACATTTGCCCTTGACTTTAGCTAGTATGAGAGAAGGTTAACTCATGAAAAATGAGAGAATTTTAGCAAGAATTTGGGGCCGGAGCAGTGCAATGCCCTCTCCGGATTGCAATGTCGATGTTGAGGTCAGAAGTGATGTAAGTCTTTATAAAATTTAAGCCTTAATTGTCTGCGCAAATTAATGTACAGCTGCTTTGTCACACTTACTCCCTCAACAATTTTGTGAAAAATAAGTTTTGGGCCGAGCTATTGATTGTCAAGTCTTCATCTGTACGCACGCAGAAGTGACTGTGATCATATTACTGTATGGCCAAAGCAATGCTTCCAGCTTTTCAAATTCTGCTCCAATAAACGGTAAATAAAGAGTGACAAATAGGGCTGGAAACCCCCCAATACCTTGCAGCAGTTACAAGAAAGGTGATTAACAGACCTGGTGAAATCGCCTTGGTTGGAAATGATTTCAGAGCATAAAATAAGGATGGGTAGAAGAACTTGGCAATTCAACGGAGTGCAACGATGAACATTCAAGGCTGGAGATGGCGTAAGGCTGGATAGTGATGGACTTCGTGGCATAGGCGAATGGAGAGTGAGAGAGGCCACAAGCGCAGGTAGCGAATGTTTTCCCAGGTGTTTGAGAGTCTCCTTCTCCAAAATCAGATTTCGCAGAGTCATTGCCACAGTTTTAACAACAGAATTATCGGGAAAATGAAGAAGATCCACGAGAACAGGTAGTCCGTTTTGCAGACGAACCTTGAAATAGAGAGTCTTTATGCTCGCCTATTGAAGAGTGGGTGAGCTTGACGTGGTAGATATTTACCCCAATTTGCCCTTTTTTGATTTCTACTGACTGGGAAGTGAGTAATATTCATTTGCAATCCGGTGTCTCATTTGACTGACACGTTTTCTGATTATTTGAGCGTTTGTTTAAAACTTAGAACTGCGTTAATATTTGATCAGCTTCTCGTCGAAATTTTAGATTCTTAACCTAAAGCATTCTACTATTGGCGATTTATGATTTTGTCTGCTAAGTGCAGTTTTGTACCACTTTGATACCTCTAGTAGCATCTTAATATTGCTGAAATAAAATCTTAAAACAATAATGATGTGTACACCCAATTACAGATTTTGTGATACTAATCACAGTGCGTCGAATTTGCGTACTCATTTTACGAAGCCATTGCCTTTTTCGTAAGCTGCTAGATGAAAAATTTGATTTGAGGACTAGTACAAAACGATAATTATTGCATTACAGATACTAGTGTTGACAAAATCTGCGCCATCAAAAGGCCATCGTGGCCAGAGCTGTGTGCCTTCTTAAAATTATGTATGACAAGTTCGCATCAACGTGAACAGTAAAATAAAACAGTTTCTCTTACATACGCTACAAGGCTTCATTCACTCTTTACTGGTACAAAAGTAAGGAAATAAGGTCAATCAACGACTCCACTAGGCGTCAATTTCTGTACCACTTTTCAGTATGCAGCAGTGCCAAAAGAAATAACGATCGGACAAATGATACCAACACACCTCTGAACGAACAATCTCTGCGGGTTGCCATTTGGCTGAAGAGGTAAGATTCTGGATGGCACCAGCAGCGGCCTCTATGCACACAGGATTGGGGGATTGGCTTAATAGTGCAAGAAGAGTGGCTATGGCATCGGGACGCCACAGGACGGCGTCTAACGTATTTGAGGTTGGTTTTGAGGCTTCTCCAACGTCAATGTGAGTATCTACGAGGAAATATGTACGGGGTGGAGTCGTTTACTAGCACGAAAGATTGAATTTCTGAAAACATATACTAATCTTCCTATTCATGGTGAACAATCGTTATGCACAGTAAAAAGTGCGTTGTCATTGGAACTTTCAACTATCATTGTGAACACTACCTCACGTTGCGGGCTCAGACAATTGAGAGGCTCAAAGTCTTCACAAGATGTCATTTGAGGTGGCCGCTAACTTATGGCAAGGCGCACCTAAAACAATTGAGCCTGAAAAGCGCACAGAGCAGTCCATCGTAATGTGATGTATTTTAACAGCTGCTCAACCTATTTAGCATTTGAGGCCATTTTGACTCGCTTTTTTACCGAGTTCGTCTCAATTCCTGATGGATCCGGATCAATTAAAACATAGTACGCTTCATAATACTAACGACGTGGTTTGTAGGTAAGGGATGAAACAACTGAAAAAGGAAGCATAAAATTAACAGGCTAAAAGTTTCAAGTCTGCTGCATATTCTTCAAACATTTCGCCAACCTTGAATTAATGCACAGTGCAATTGGAACAACGCCAGCTACATTACGATTGTGTGCTTTACTAACTGCCCGCATATAAGGCTAAGCTTTCATGATTCCATGCAACCAGTCACCCGCTGTGCATGTTAATGAACCACTGAGCAAGCAGTACCATGGGATGAGATCAAAGTTAATTAATTCGGGGTGTATCCGTGCAATTGCAAATGCCCGATTTGAGAGAAATAACTGGCACAAATGGGAAAGAAGGGATCACAAACTATATTTAAGGACCTTAAATGCGTGGTGTTTCTTCTTGAAACTTTACGTCCAAACACTCGAGTGATGTCTCTGAATACCCACAAAATGAAATCAAATCAAATTCCACATGGAATTCAACATTCTATGCCTTTCTATGCAAGACACATTAGACCATTCCTCACCTCAAGGTGCGCTATTGGAACCTTTGCGAGAGATCTGGCTTGTGAAGGGCTTTTAATTATGAGATGTGATGGCTAGTTTAAATGAATGGGTGATAATCTTGAACAATAAGGATTTCGGCTAGAGCTACGTCTAAGTCTTTATGATGATTTCGAAAGTATTAGCCTAATGGTGAAATTCTGAGGCAAAGAGTGCCAAAGTACGAATCTATCACAAAGTGACCACTTCTGTGAAATCAAAAGCAAATAAGTGGAAACGAAATCCCAAAATATTTAATGGCTGCACTAATAAGTGAAACTTGCATAGAAGCAAGACAAGTAAAGTGTTCAGCTGGTCAACAAGATTTGATTCATTCCCTAATTGACCAGAGTAGTTTCCTTACAAAGTATCACCGAACAAAGTTTGAAAAAACCAAAAGTTGATGGAGCTTGTTCCTAAAGCAATGCTCCAACTTTTTTGCAGCGGCTTAAACGGCCAAAAATTAAAGGAATCTTAAACTTACTGCATTAAGAGAGTCGAATTTCAATAGTGAAAATACAAAAATGGGTCAAGCCTAAATCCTAACCAAAGTCTTTTCGATTCCACCCCTTTGCGATTTTGCAGCGACCACGACTTCTAAGTGCCTTCGTGATAAAGTAATCACTTGGCGGCTTAGTGACATCTCCTAGAGCAAAACAGAGATTGCGGACGGCGCAGGTACAGTTTTCCACCACTTTTGTGTCCGTCAAACCGCTGGTCCCAGCCACGCGCATCACCTGTAACAAATTTTCCAGTAAGCCCACACAACCTCGCAATTGAGCGCGGATATTTGCGTCCTCGCAGCAGCTCATGTTCCTGTAAAAATTCGAAATTCTCACTCACTCCTCTAGACGTTCATCCCCAACCAATGCAAAGACCACCAAAATGTCATTTGATTTGAGAGCAAGATTTGTCAAAATCTCTGTCCAAAATCCATTAATAAAGGATATGAACAAGCTGCAGTCCTAAATCTTAAACTGAACAATAATTGACGTGAAACTAGTTATCCGCACACTAAGTTTACGAAATTTGAATAAGGTGTTCCGAGTCGTAGTTACAATTCCAGACACTTTGACTCAAAAGGCATAACGAGGAACGGCAATTATGTCCTACTCTTAGGAGCTTTGTGAGCTTGATAGTAAATTTTGTAGACCGTTGACCGATTGAAGGTGATATTGTTTCAAGGACTTTGAAAGAAGTCTAGAAAGTGCTTTTATTCATGCCGTCGGTCGTGCAAGTACCATTTAAGTTTAACGTCAAGTTTAAATGCATTCCAAAAGCCTACGACCCATAGATCGAGAATTCAAAGTAATGCAGCCTACCGTATGACCGCGGTACAAGTACGATAAAGAACGGTAGGATGAAGAGGAGAGTTTCCATCGCTAAAATTGCCAAGATTGCCGCAAACTGCCCGTGAGACCGGTATCAGGACTGTTGTCAAGAGAACTGGAATCACCGCTCCAACCGCTACCCGCTTTCGGACTATTTCAATTGATGTAATATTGCAAAGAATGGCAGAGGCATTCTCCAGTAAATTGAGGATTCGATCAGTGTTAAGCTTCGCCATTAAATTAGTATTGAAATGCTCCTCAGCAAAGCTCTGCCGATACTGATTTATGAGCCAAAGGAGTGCGTTTATTCCATTGGATCTTTCGAATTCTAACTGAAACGAAAGGCAACATGACTAAATTTTGAGCAAGTTTATTCAGAGATAAAGCGATGTACGAAAACTGGGCATACGCAGAGTCGGATATTCGACCCTGAGGTAAGGTTTCGTAAGGCTCCAGTAGCATTTGCGACCACGGATAGTTCGTTCGATGTGAAAAGCCTAATAAGATTGTCAAGTCCACCGGCTCGCCTGAAGTGAAAGACAAACGGCAAGACTCTTAGTTTATGATAGCTAAATATAGACTTTTCATACAGTGAGTAAAAGCACAATACCATTTTAAAATGCACATTCAAAACATGCATTGGCCAAAGCAATATAGTAAAAATGGTAATGACATACAGACGATTAGTAGCAGCCCAAACCTTAAATAGTAAAAAAAATTCAAATCATCCTTCCGAGAAAAAATCATTCAAAGCTAGCAAACCCTTGACATTCAAGAACATCTATTCAGTCGTGCACTCCTAATTACAACTTTTGTGACACAATTCAAATCGGAGTAAGCCTGTAAATTCAGCCTTAGCTTCAAAATGTTCATTTATGATAAACAACACTCCGAACGGAAAATGCTTTACCACGCCTCTTCCTTGGCATCATCATTCTTATACACAAGGTGTTGGATACACGCTGCGGCAGCTGCTTGAACAGTTGTATTTGACGAATTAAGTCTGTTTATGAGGCAAGGAATATCTGTTGATACTGAAAGGTCCATATTCGACTGAGATTTTGGAATGAACTGCTGCCGAGTATTGACTAAGAAATAGAAACGCTGTTATTGACAGGCAACTTGACTTTAGCTATTTGTTTACTTCAGAGGCTTTAGTGTTCAAGCGCTACAGATCCTCATCAATTAAAAAAGGACAAGCTTACAAAACACAATGGCAACTTTTAGATAACAGATACCTTAGAAACAAAATGTGTTTTGCATTACCAACGACACCACATTAGCTATCCGCAATCATTAGAACTGCAGCACCGCATGACAACAATTACGGTGCTTTTATAAAAGTGGGACTTTATAGGGTAAAGTAAGATCAGTTCAGGGATGAGGAGCCTATTCTCCGAGGTAGGCCTCCTGAAGTTGACTACTGCAGTGAATATCGTGATATTGATCACAGCAGCGCACAAAAAACTTGCCAATCATCACAGAACAAGTCCATAATAGATGTTCAGAAAAGGATCACTTACGTTTGTTACGCATCAAAGAATGCTGAGGGTTTGGGAATTGCCTTAGATACAGTCGCCCGTCTGTCGAACACGGATAAGTCGCGGACGTTCTTTCACGAGATATATCCAGGTACTCAGCACTCTGCGCTCTAATAAATGTTTCTAACAATTGTGACGCCATAATTATGCCACATACTTTGCCTGTTTAAGCCAAAATCCATGCCGCTGAGACTTATGACAATTAATAATGCACAAATGTAAGTGGAGAGGGGTTTCTCTAGTTCAATATGCGTTAGCAATCTACTCTTGAGAATGCAAGGATCGAACGCTCCAGAAGATAGATGCACTGCGACCCGGTAAATTTACAAAAACAAAGTAGCAGCACTTACTTCATCGTTGTTTTCGAGTCAAGGTCAGCCCATCTAATGTCGTTTTGTTAAATTAAACACGATAAATATTTTGCTCTTTGAAACAAGAGTCTCAAGCATCGCTCTGAATAATGTATAATACTCACTGCCAACAAAAGGGAAAAATGTTACACAATCATGCAGTTATGTGCTCTATGACTCGAATGCCAGGTGTTAAGCCGTTGACTGCTTCAATCATAAGAACCCCTCGCCGATGCGCCTCGAACCAGAAAAACCATCAGTCACGTGACCCCAGACCTCTCAACCGCAGCACAACGCGACACCTGAACCCCCATCCCGAGCTTCGCCCCTCTGGGCGGACCCAGACCCCAACTACCACCAAAACCCACGATGCAAAATGCGGAAAGAGCTGATAAGATCACCTTCAAGGAGCGAAACATCTGTAAGCAGTTCGTATATACATCATCGCAAGAAAAAAACATAAAGGCAGCCAAGTCATTCACGATTTGCTCTCACGATGGTGTCGGCGCTTGGAGTGCTTCTCCCGTCCTTCCTTGGAATCCTCCACGGAACTTGAGTTTGAAGAGTTCGAAGGTTCTTTCCTACTCCGTTTTCGCCTTTTATGATGGCCGTGATTCTTCTTACGCTTTCTGAACTTCTTCTCCTTTGTATTATCATTACCTTCTTCAGAGTCATCTGACGAGGAATTCAGAGGCCTTTAAGGTGAAAAGCAAAAAAGTGCCTTGTCAGGTTCACAGAACCGACTGTAGACAGCTTGGCTCAGCCAAGTAATGCATAAACTAGCTTCAAGCAGGCGCAAGCCGAAGCATTTGAAGAGAACCAGAGGTACACAAGCCAACAGATAACACTCGACAGGTAAATTATACATGACAATGCAGGATACAAACTTAACTGTGCACGACAAAAAAGAATACCAATCCTACCCAACTCACTTCAAGTTTTTCTGAGACTCAAAAAGGGCCCTGGCCTCCTCGGCTTGTTGACGTCGTTCACGTGAGCTTCGCATAGCACTACCATCTTCATAGTCGTCTCCTATTCCCAGAGCCTCTTTAAAAACGGTATTTTTTAGAATCGTCACTGCAGCAGTTTCGTGTGTACCTCTCGGAACAAGCCTGTTGGCGTCCGGAATAAGAGTGGTGCCGGACTTAAACGCCTCACCCAGACTCTTGGGAGCAATGTCGTCAGTAAGCCTTGAAGTGAGCTCCTTTCTCAAGACCGATACCTTCTCATCAATTTCTTCTTCAGTATAACCCTGATCTTCCATCGTTTGACGTAGTTCAAAGCACCTCACTTCGACCTGCCGTTTTTTTTCGTGCATCAGAATGTCTTTATTGGGTTCCTTGAAGGCCAACGCATCCGCACGTTTGACCTCCACATCCGTCTTGTAATTAATCCTGTCTTTATAAGTGGTAAGGTACGCCAAATTCCGCTGGACATAACCATTAGTACCACTGCCCCTGGGAGTGGGCAAGCCTATCCCGTTATACATAATGGCAACCAGCAACTCTGAGTTCGCCGCCACACCGATACGAAATCAAACAAAACAAAAGTGAATAAAGAGCTATAAATGAAAACCTGTCATAAGAGCAAATAATATTTAGATTGACTTTTAGTTTTCGACTTTAAAAACAAAGGTTTCTAAAAGAAACCTTTTTTGCCTGACATTTATTACTTTGTTATTTTGCAATTCGTACCATACAATCCTAAAAACTTTTTGAGGTGAATTTGTGCAACGATGTTGCAGCTGTAGCGGTCTAGGGCTTCCCACAGTATGGAAGAAGGCAATAAGAGGATCTGGATACATGTATTCAAAGCGAATATAGAGACTGGACCTGAGCATGGCACGAAGACCAACTTACGCGTGGAAGGACCAGATAAACACCAATGTTACCATCAGACATCGAAATACCGCGGCCTTTCCTTGCTCATGAATTCCTCGCCCGTTAAATAGGCAGCTCCTGCGGGCCTCCTAGTAAGTTGAATTAAGCGTCCTTGTCAAACGTCGGCGGCACCATTATCTCAAGGTACATGAGGGTGCTCAAGACCTTCCACTGAGTAGAAGAAGCAGCAAGTGGGTTGACCACTGTATTCCAGAAAGGACAAAGTAATCAGGCCTGAGCATGGCCCGAAGACCGGTCCATGCGCACAAGTCTTAAAGTGACAGCCAGACGTCAGATAGTCATATAAACAAAGTATTGCAGCATACCTGAATAAAGTCTTGTTTAGCTTTGTTGATTTATGTTTCTAAGGTCTACTTTGCATTACAGTAGTGCTGCCATTCCACTTAAACGATTAGTGGAGCAACTGCAAGACACCTTCACAGAATTGACGTTACTTGTTCCAGGTTGCACACGTTTTAGCAAATCCAAGCTTCTTCTAAACAGAGTACGATGTTTCATGACCTTCATTAGGCACTAGAATTCTTAAATTAATATTATGATTCAGGAAAGGTGATGGATTTCGTGGGTTAGCACTGCTGGAATCTCACTCTCGTGCATCGGGTGGCGAGAGATGATCGCTGTATAATGGGTTGCCCTAACAGTGTGATGCGTTTGACTGATGACGAGCGTAATAACACTGCGGTTGTTAGCCTTTGAGGGCGACTGTAACAATGCAGCGGGTCGGATTGAGTTTTCGACAAATTAGGGATTCCGTTTGAGCGGAAGTATTAGTGATTCTCGAAGGAGCGTAGTGTCAGATCCACCTCCATCATAGTGGAAAGGGACTCGGGTTGTCCGTTAATTAGATAGGATGTTTCACTGCAGTGCTGCCTATGGTGATGGGCGTCAACTGCATCCCGAAGACCTAGTTTATAATGGCTAATGCTGCGTTCTATGTTGTTGATGGGAGTTAATGAGTAAAAAGAGAAACCTATCAACGTCGGCATAGCCGATTGAGGTCGATTGTAGTCAATTGCATTTGCTGTTAAATTCTGCGAAACCCTCTAAAGCGTAAGTCGTAGTAGTGCGCGCAAATGTAGTGAGGACGAAACGCAGCGAATCTAGGTCGTTTTAAACAAGAGCTAATTTTGAGGTGTCAGGTTCCTCAGGGTGTCCGTTTTCCACGATTAGTATTTGTTGATCAGCGTTTAGACAATTTACCACTCAAGGATCGAAGCTAGATAAATTAACTTAATTAAACCGCCATATTCATTCCATTAGACAAGAAAACAACAGAATCAAGTCTACATAGGTATATGATCTTTTCCATTCCCAACAGAAGACAAGTTCAGGTTGTTGTTGTTGATGCACAAGTCTTCGTCTACACAAATGGCCTCAAATCAGTTATCCGATTTTCTTGCCCCTTTAATTTTAGCATAACGAGCATCGTTATGCTTAGAATTTAAACACACACCATTTTACTTGAGCCAGGTGTGAATGCCAATTATCCAATGAACACAAAGTAAAATGCGTTTTCCACCTTACATTCAGTTAATATGCAGGTCAGATAGCCTAGACAACGTCTGAGAGGGGATGAGTGGAGGTCGAAGGCGTGTTAATGCAACTGGTGGACTCGGTGATATCTAGGAATCGAGGATGCTGTTCTCGTTGACGCATAAGTTGGTCAGCGAATTTAGACGGCTGGGCAAGGGTGAGGTGGTTCCACTTGACGTTGTAAGCCGACAGTCCCGTTCGATCTCTTGGCAGGCTGTAGACGTAGCCCGGCGACCCACTCAATGGTTGCAGTGACCTGGTGGATACCGGGATAACGGCCTTTATCTGTTGCGACAGCGATGCCAATGGCGGTGGCGACGGAGATGATTGCATGCCCTCGTGCATCCTGTGTTCGAAACGGTGCTTGAGGAGTTCCTGTGACGTACGGATGTGCGGCCGCAAACGACACTCCCACACAGTGGTGAACACGCCTTCAGCTAGCAGCACCAGTAACGATCCAATCATCACCGCGGACGTGAGGATATCCAAAAGTTCAGCTAGCGACAATAGACAAGAACCAACCAAGTTGGTAGCAGAAACCACCAGTCTACGGCTGGATGACGGACGTTAGTTGTCCATGCAATGATGGAAACCAACCAAAGTGCTTCCTGAGGGCGTTTAAACTGCTCACAACCTCGCTTATGTTTGTCATAAAAGATTGTCATTTTAAATTCCAATTTCCATTGTGGCATAGGTGGATGGAATGCTGGAAACCTCAAAGGATATTTTTATAATAACCCGAAGAGGACTCTCGGCGCATTACTGTGCAAACTATTAGGAGTTAGAGCTATTCATTGAGGTGTGCATCTCAAACATTACCTCTTGCTTCATAAAAAGTTCACAATTAATGACTTGTGGGTTTATGAAAAATCATTAAAGTGACACAAAAAAGGAGTTAACAATGGAATTCCATTTACCATTCTTGTTAAAGAGTGATTCTGGTGACTTCAGTCTAAGTGACCAGCCTTGTCTTGAAGATATTTGGACAGTAACGGCGACTCGACTGCAACCGAAGACAATGAAGTTATAAGTTGAAGTTCGATAAGCTCTTGCAAAGGTAGAGGCGGTATGCTTACCTATGACGCTGCTCCATAGATGACTGAGATGAAAGCAGACCTCGCATTTCTTTGATGAGCACCTTATTCCGATCGTATAGACGTGAAAATTTGGCACTAATTTTATTCAAATTTGAATCCGTTGCAAGAAGCATTGATTGCAGCGAGGAAATTATATTTTCACTGCCACGAGCTACATCATTTGCTTTGGTTATGGAAGAGTTGCGAGAGTACATTCCCCTCATGGTGAAGTTGCTTAAAAAGCCATTCAGACTGTAGGCTGCATCAAGGCACTTTTGACCGTTTCGACGGAGGTCAAGCACAGTCACATCGGAGATGAGGTCACTTATTCGAAGATCGTTCAAAAGGCGCGAAAAGTCGAGCGGACTCCGCTGAAGGAAAATCATTACCAAATTCAGTTGTACAGTATCTTGGGTCATGTCGAAGAGAAAGGACTCCTGCAGCCTGTCTGTGAAGGCATTACTGAGTTGGCTAACTCGCATCAGCATACCAGTGTGTTCAGCCTGATCCAGGCAATTTTCGTCAAAAAGACTGCTTTTCTTTCCTCCGGCATGGAGGAGACTGTTTATGAGACGACTCCCGTCCCCTCTTGAATAATTTGCCGCTTGACCTATTACCTTCACCGCATCCTGCATCATCTTTGTTATACGATGAAGGCTGAGTAAAGTTTCATCCAAACTCATGAGTTCATGAAAAACATTGCGATTGGCCTCTCGAAGGAATGCCCACAGCTGAATGGATGCTGATAACTAAATTAGGCAAAACTTAGTAATTTCCTGGTTACGGTGTTACCATTATATTTAAAAGTGGTCGGTAATACTACCTGATAGTCTTTTTCATTTTGACCAGGAAAGCTCAACCAATGTCGATTCAGCGTGTGAGAACTTTGTCCATCCGACCTTGATCTATTGTGCGCATTTCGAGGGAGCAGGGACTGGGACTTTCCGAAACCTCGGAAGCCAGGAAGAAAAGGTTGCCACGCCTGAGTTATCGACTCATACGTGTAGACAAGTTGCTCACACGGCTCTGTACAGCTGCAAGCTGAGAGTGAAATCGAGTCTAAGAGGAGAAATATGGGTCATGCTACAAGCGGTCTTTTGATTGTTAAACATAATTGCAGGTGCACCTTTCACAATATGTCTTGACACGCAATTGTTCTCGACTCACTGACCTGAAGCAGTGAAATTTGCCGCCTTATTACCCAAAAGAAAATTGTGCGACAAATAGTTTGTCACCATTTTTAAATGTACCCTGAGACTCTTGAGGGTTGAAGTTGAGAATTTTAACGACACAACGACTAGCATTCCTTTCGTCGCCTCCTAATGACAACCCGAAACTCGATCCCAACGTACACACACTTGGAGAAGGCACATTTGCAAGGATATTATTATTATGCTGGGGTAGCTCCTTACTAACGTGCTTTGTATACGATACAAATTAACTCGAATGGACTACTAAAACTGCAGTAGCGCAAGAGCTTTCACCACCATTTCACTTCTCTTACGCTATTCATACACGTTTGCGAACAAAGTGGAGTTTGTGTGCATGTTTCCTGAAGCATAACAATACTTGATTGTCCGACAAAGTAGCAGAGTTGGTAAACCCTTGCTGGGAAATTCAACGTTTCGCACATTTTCGTATTAAGAATCGAACCTTGCAAGACATCAAGTTGTATGCTGCAGTTTGAAATAGCTTCGAGATTGCATCCTTCGTTACTGGCTAAATGAAAAGAACACCTGTTAACACAATGCATTCAGCGGATCACAATTTCAGTAAAGCATTAAAAACTAAACTGCTACAACATTGAAACTCAGTCTGTAAAAGTAAAATTTAAATGTCTGTCTATAGTAGGCGGCAGTTTTTTACCAAACAGTCCACCTGGTTTAAATGTATTGTTCGTAGCAAGTAGGCGAGTTAGAAATTATGCATACACTAACTAACGATGAAGTTGTCTGCTCATACGCGAAGACCGCTAAACGGTTGCGAAAGTAACCAGTCGGAAAACATTACCGCTAAATATGCAGCCACATTCCTTTTGGATTCGGAATAAGAGGCACTTCTGTAGACAGGCTTCCCATGTTCGCTGAGGAACGCAGTCAGATTCATAAACCTGTCAACATTGATGAAAACTGAAGGACATGAGTTTTAGGCGATTTGATTTAGCATGATCGAAAATCTTTCCAAAGTCACACCTTCAATTTGCCTTGCACTGCTCTTTTCTACCATTGGCGTTTTACTTTACGGCGGACAGCGTGAATGTGTTAATGCTGCAACAAATAATACATTTATCGGCGGCAAGAAGTGGCTTTTTAATTGGTGATGCATCCCTTTTGCGTAAACTTTGCAAAACTTATTGCTTTTCCTATACCCTACGATTGCGACCGATGGTCTTTGATGTTTAGTACAAGAAGCCTTCAGCATCTCAGATGGAGGCGAAAGGGAGCCTCTCAAGTAACCATAACATCAACTGATTACCAACTAATCATTGACAATTTCAAACTTATGCTAAAATAGGGACGAATTATTCGGAGCATGATTCTCCCTCCTCCCAAGTAGCCACATAGGGGTGAAGAACAGGATTAAAATTGAGCCTCACTGGACTTTGCGGTTCACGTGGTGCACTACCAATGCTAGAAGCTGGCTAATCCACCGAATCAAGTAAGGATCCGACAGTAAGCGTTGTCTAAGATACCAAAAGTGGCAAAAGTGAAAACTTGCTTTAAAAGTGGACTTGGACAAGTTCCGTGTGTCATGAAGGTGTGCTTTAATGCGTTATGAAGCCTAAATCTGAAGCATTAGAAGCAAAAAAGGCTGATTCTGACGAAGAGTGCGGTATTGACCTACCACTGTGAAGTTAACACTGAATGAGAGTAGCTACGACCACAGAACCCCTCAGCTTGTTGCCTCTTCATTGGTAGCAATAGATTTTAGAGAAAGTAACTCATTTAATGCTTCTTTATCAATGGATTGTCATGCTTGATGGTAACGACAATTCAAAAGTGAATTAAGAAATTGTATTACTGAGGGAGGACTTTAGTAACAATAAAGAAATGCCAACAAACATGTGTTAAACATGTACATACACAGACATTTGCTATAAATGAGGCACTCGCATGCTCAAATTCAGGCAGTGCACAATTTTTGAGGGTTCATGAAATCCACCGTTTCTAAAGTTGCTTTAAATTGTACCTTCAGTCCTGCTGCACCATTGTCCATACTTTGGGTTTCAAAAATGAATGCAGGACGCAATGAGCATGCGAAAACCGACCATGTTTTGGACGCCCTAACCGAGTAATCTTGAGTTCATTTTAGTGATAGTAAGTTGTTTAAGAATGGGGCAGTATTTAAAAGAAATGCGCGAACACAGGGTCACTGTCAAAGATACGTAACGAGGTCTACTGGTTTACAAACAGGCAAAATTTTATTCTTTGCACAAATTAGGGAGAGTGTTGCAGCACCTCCAGATTTTCAAAATGAGTCCATATTTATGCCACAGTGATAATTTTATCCATTTTGAATTGTTGCACCAGCTACCATCGCTAATGGTATTACCTTGGGTCAGTAAAGCTGAAAACGCATTCACAGAACATTTTGCCCAGTCTCGATGTGTCAAGGAACAAAATTGGCGTGCAGTATCAGTGCAGCCGAATCCGCTTGTGACAACGCGAGTTCATCAAGGTAATAACTTGAGGTTGGCGATGGGGAATGCAAACAAACAAAAGACACCTTATGCAACACTAAATACAAGTTGATGGAAAAAGCGAGACAGTCCGTGAAGACAGAGTGTGGAAGAAACCTAGAAAAATGACTCCTAACGCTTTGCATAAAGTTAATTCAATGGTGTTGTTAAGATTAGTGAAATGGTATGCATTTGTTTGCTACTTCAGGCATTTAACTTGGTTAGAGCATAGCCAGATAGCCGAGGTAAAGCTTTATGTGCATGTATGCATACATGTGTTTTTGGAAAAGTTGCCGTAGCCGAGCACATGAATGATTTGTCTGTGCCGGCGTACCCGTTCACAAATTTGAATCCTCATTTATTGAAGGTAGGTGATGCAAGACTATAGGTGCGCGATAGTTAAGAAGAAATGTTTCATAAAACGACTCGTTGTCCCTTTCAGGTGATGTACCTTTTGCGTACCAACGAGACGAAGCATGGTGTGGAATTGGGCTCCAAGAAACACGGCTGCCTGGTGATGTATCCAATGCGGTTCAGGTGTCTCGTGGACGAGGAATCGGAAACCAACAAGGCCACTGTTTGGAATGAGATAATCGGCAGACTCTGGATCAAGTTCTAGATGCAACTTCTCAAAAGCTATAAACGATGGAGTAAATACATTACAGAGTAGATGATCTTAAAGAACACCACTTAAAATCTTTACTTTAAACAGAATATTTTTAATCTAGACAAACTTGCTATTGTACATTGAAAAGAAGTTAGAGAAACCGCCTAAAATGCCAACACGGTTCAAATAATCTTTGGCGACACCAAATTCGCTCTACTTATGTGAAGCATTCTTAAAGACACTGCACTTTAAAATACATTGCCGACTATATGCAAACAGGCGACTTAGTTTTTACGACCCAATGTAAGCAAGCAAAGTGGCTAAATGAGGAGAACAGCAATTTGCTGATCTGAAAGTCGCTAGACTTCGCGCCCCCCTAAAATCGAGTTTTCGATCCCATTTAAAGAAAAAAATCAATAGAAACAATGGCAAGCAGAAGATCGGATGTTTAACTGTTATATTAGTGGACATTTGAACTTTCGTGTTTTTGGGGAGCAGTTTCCATGCAACCGAATGGCAACTGCAGAAAGCTTTTACACAACTTGGTCTTTGCTACAAACCGCTGTAAGTTCTAAGCCATAAACCCATCTCAATGAGGCAACAGCCAATATTTTCCACTCTATTAAACTGTTCTGTGTATGGAAGCAAACAACCAAGCTCTGATCACTTCCGTTTCTATCTCATTTTCTTGCATAGGGCAGTCCAAAGACTTGAACAGATACAATGTCGTTATGAGACAATACAGAGGATGGGACAAAGCTTTGCTCTCACTCTGGAACTTAGGCATTCTTACTAGTTTGTGAAGCCCTCTTTTGCCTTACAAATTAGGACCACCTTTCTCCTAACTGTTTTGCACTGCTGATTTCTCAGCTAACTGAGGGTAGCCTCAGAACTTCATTTGTTTTTATTTGACCTTTGGTAAGAAGTCACTGTCAAGCGCCACCCGAGAAGCCCGATCGTCTAGGGATGAAGTAGCATCGTAAATGCATGAGATTGATGACAAGGAATTCGTTTAAGGAGACTTGCTAATGCCTTTAAAGTAGTCTTTGCACATGAAGACGAATGAGCATTGCAAGTAGATGAACTGATGAAACGGAGCTGTACGTTGTCCATCATGTGCTAAAGACGGATCAGCGCTGAAAATCATTGAGACTTATTAACATCTAACATGTAATAGCCATTTATGTAGTTTTCGTTACGACGCAATTTATGTGGATGTGAATCGTATCTGCATCTACCTTAACCGTTGCTGAAAGCTGATGGTGGCACTGACATATCTTTCCCTTACATTCGCTATACAGCAGTATTTGAGAGAAAGTGGGCCACAAAAGCAGGCATTTTCCAATCACACAGGACCGATTCTGCATTATTTGCTTTGAGAGCAAGAAATGATCAGAAAGTGGCACAGGGTGAAGTAGGAAGTACTCGAACACTGGTGCGTTCCATGCCTTGAAGTAAACGCATGTATGTAGGGAGTTGTAGGAAGTCTACAAGTTTGATGAAATTTGAGCAAAACGTTTTATTAGGATGTTGTGAGAAGCTTAAAAAGTTTTAACCACCAAAAAATTTTCCTAACTCTAATGAATTAGCATGAATAAGTTTGCTATACTAATTTGGACGAGAATGGTGAAGAAAAGAGAGAATATGAACCTACGTTTTACTTCCCCTCGATATGTATAGCACACTCCCGAGGGCAAAACATGCTTGGCGAATTGGGCATGGGAACATGTGCGCGAGGATATCCGACACCTGCATTAAAAATGACGAATCAAAAACCTAGACGAATCTTAATTGAGCACTTTTGGGCACTAACCCCGAGCACAACTAGCATTGTCGATGTCAATGACATGAAGCAAATGGTGTCGCTATTTCAACTATTACGAATGGAGGGATCGTTTCCCGAGTCAAAGACTTGGTACATGTGCATGAGGTCCAGTGTATTTCAGAAAAATGCAAGCCTTTTTCCTTTATACTTCCCATAAAATGGCACAGCAGAAGATCTTAGTTGTTTAAAGCAAATCGTAACCCTTGCCTTACCTTTGTGAAAATGGTATTAGGAAAGGTGAGACAAAAACGCTATCCTTAAGTACATGATGGTGAAGATGACCTCGTTTGCTGTACGTTATTGCAGTGCCTTTAAAGATGTGCTTGGGATGTAATCAGAAATTAGTTGACAAGGGAGGATGCATCAGTTTACGATTAGGAATGCCTTCCTCCTCGATAAACCATCTCTTAGAAATAGAAGAACGCATTGTCAATTTGATCAGCATCTTACATTTTGCAGTGCTGCCAATGTTGGCATTGACTTTACAACACTGCACGAAGCCTTCTGAGTCTTAAATGTGGACAGTCATGATGAGCGCCTACACACCGTTTTTGCTGACAGCCGTCATAGCCTACTGCCTACAAATGACAGATGAGAACCACGCAAGCAATATTTTTTTTAGGCTTGAATAATGATGCGATTTGCTACTTACAAAGATAAAACGATCGACATAGTGGCTCACTTCCACTTCTAACGCATAGTGGGTACAGTTCCGATTTTCCTATGCTTGGATGCACAAATATGTTGACTGCCTTTTCCATAAATCAGAATTAGCTATTAAAACTTCGTGTTTTTGCTTACTAACTTTTCTACGTATTTACAGATAAATGCAGATAGTTTGTAGAATAGTTTAAAC